TTAACAAGAAATTCATATAAAAAGTTAAGTTGAAAGCTAATAAATTATTTCAATTATAACTTAAAACTTTATTATAAATTATAATTATTAAAATATAAAATAGATATAATATTTTTAAATAATAAATTATAATTATTAAAATTAAATAAAAGTAAATATAAGTTTTTTTTAATATAGTTAAAAATTTATTTTTTTATATATTTTAAATATTAATTAATATTATTTAGATTTAATATAATAATAAATATAAATTAGATATATTTTAATATATATTTTTAATCTGATAGTAAATTTTTACTAAAAATTATTTTAAAATAAAAAAGCTAATTATTAAATAATAATTTTTAATTAATTATCATTATATAATTATTATATATATATATATATATAAAATATTCTAATGTATTCAAAATTCTAGCAAGATTATATTTCTAATAATGTATTTAGTAATTATTTACTAATAATAAAATTACTTTATTAAATTAATTGATTTAATTATTTAGCTTGAATTCAATTAAAAATTTGTAAAATAAAGTTAATATATATATATATAATCTTTTTTATTTATTTTTAAATAAGAATTATCTGAGGAAACTTGATAAAATATCAAAATTAATTTAATAAGTTATTTTATTAAATTAAATGAGTCAATAATTTAATACAAGCAAGAAATAAATATATTATTATCTTTTAATTAAGTTATATTAAATAAAAATCATTATCTTGTAAATAAAATAATAGATAAAAATAAAAATTATAATAATTATTAGTTTAACAATAAAATCTTTTTTTATCTTTAATAATTCTTCAATAATGAGTTATTCAAATTTCATTACTTTTTATTTCTTTTATATTTCACTTTATTATTTATCTAATTCTTGTTCTAATCCTAATTCTAATATTATATATAAAAACATGAATGCATCATTAAATTTTTCCTTTTATAATTTTATAAAAGGAATTTCTTCAATTAATTCTAAACTAGAATTAATGAAAATATTTTATTAGAAATAAATATTCAATATAAAATGCTAAAAACTCTTGTCAGAATTCCTTTTATATTAGTATTAAAGATTACAAATAAACATAGACAAAACGTCACGATCTGACTGGCATGTATTAGTAGGAATATGCATGTAGTGCTGTATTACATATTTCATTTTACATGTATATGTACATGTAATTGCTGTTGCATGAATCAGTAATACATGTACATGTATATCATTATCCGCAGTAAACGGAGTTTTCGATGTCATGCTTCCCACCATCACAGAATGAAACAAGTTTTTCCTGGGAAATTTCATTACAAATAAAAGTAATGATTTTCTGGGAAGAACAGATTTTGTGTAAAGATCTTCAATAAAGTAGCGGAATGATATATTTATATTACTCCGCCCATTCTTTTGTGGTTTGTTGACAAATAAATATCGACATGATATAAAGTTTTGTTTCTTGTTTTTCTACCGCTACGGTTAAGAAGAAATGGATAATTGGAAGCTTGATACAAATTATTATATTATGAATAAAGGTGATGACGAAGAGAACGTCATGCTTATTGACAACCACGACGACGAAGATAATGATACCAACAGTTTTATTTTTCATCGTAATAATGAGAGTGATTTATTTGTGGATGAAACACAGGAGAAGGTTTGATTTTTTATTAAATATACTCGATTTTCTCGTTAGTCCTTTTTTTCATTTATACGTATCTTGTTTATTTTTCTTTCATATGAATTTAATAGTTTGCACAACTTAAAATCAACAGAGATGAAGATAACAAAAATTATAATAACCCGTTAGTTGATTTTTTAGAAAGTAACCGGTATGATAGCACAGAAAAAGAAACCAATTTATCGCAAACACCAATAATCGAACAAAATCAAACCTCTTACCATTACAATTCTCACGACCCATACACTGGGCAAGACTTTCGTCAAACAGAACTACATAAAAAGGACGCAACCGGAAATTTTGCAGAGTTATATCACCATTTCTATACGAAAGATGGTTTCGTACGGGATCTCTCTGCATTTGTGAATCTCGAACAGCTCGTCATTTTTCTAGAGCGTAATATTCACACATTGGCATCCGAAGTGACAGTGCTTCTTCCATCGATTATTGAATTAGTTGTGAAGTATGTACCCGCATTTGAAATTGTGTTTGTAGAAAATTATAATTTTAATGGCAATCAGTTTTATGGAATTATTAACGTGGCGGAGTTGTTGAACGATTTGGATGCTGGGTTGGGTGTAAGAGGAGTTACGGGGTATGGATTGTTTTTGGATCTAGGCTATGTTCCGCCTCCTCCGTCGTCGTCGTCGTCGTCATCGTCGTTTAGGTTTAGCAATGTAAATAATAACAATAATGATGATAATTATAATAATCAATTAGCCGATAGTTTAAGAGAGCTTCGGTATTCTGTGCTGAATAGAGAACAAGAGGAGGATGCAAGAGAATTTTTGAAATTATTGGCGGAAGACGATGAAGAACCAGATGAGGAAGATGATACCGAAATTTCTGATTCAGATTTTAGTGAGAAACGGACAACCACATCTTCGACTACCACAAAATCCAACAACAATGATATTCGAGTAAAAGCAAAAGATGGGGAACGTGATGAACTAGAAAGTAACATGAGCTTCAGTGATATCGAATATAACACTGATAATGATAATAATAATATTATTTCCGATTCCGCTTCCTTGCTGTCATTTGAAGACATTGAATATAACGCAGATGTAAATGATGTTTCGGATGTCGAAAGCATCACAACTGAAGGTGGCGAGTGGCATTATGTATAATTTACGGAATCATTGAAGTGGTGATAATCAAACCACAGTTGAATGTATTGTAGATATATATATATATATATACATGTATATGCATATTTTCATAATTTTTAGTATCTTGTAATATATCGATTTCAGAATAAACTTGACAGATACACTGTATTAAGATATTCTATGTCATTAATATGTACAGCTAATAATAATAATGATATTAAAAGACAGATTATCACAATGGTTATAACTATACATGTACTTCAATTCGCCTCGACTGTCTTCCAACACTATTTCATTACTCAACAGACAAACCAACAAAGTCTTCAGCTCTGAAATTTCCATCTGTCGTCCCGGACAAATTCTCATCCTGCTATCAAACTGTAACAATGTATTCTTTGTTCCCGTTTTCGAGGAGTCAAACTTCAAAAATCGATCTGGATTAAATTCTTCGGGGTTGTCCGGCTTTCCATTGAAGACCAATTATTTCGTCATCGTTTTGTGAATGCGTGTACGACTGGGGTTAATCTTTGAATGCATCAAACTATTGGGGGTTTTCGAGATTTTCTTGAGTGATTTGTTCCGAACACTTCATTTATTTCTTCGAGTAAACGTTGCGGATATTTGCACATGTTCCAAATCATGAATTCAGAGAATTGGCAGCTATTAAAGTTTATTTTTATAGAAATACAATCAATTCCCTATATTTTCCCTATATAAGTAACAATAAAAAATAACAAATACCGTATCGATGCCAGCAGCGGAAACGTCAATCAGATTCACGATTCATAATAATCCCTTTATTCGTATATCAAGTCCTTCCGACGGTCCGGTACGTATTGTGAAATTATTTTTCGTCGATGGATTAAAAAATTTTTCCATAGAATCAGCGCGACCGAGAAAAATCGTGCGTTCTCTTCGTTTGTGTTTTGTTTGCCCATCTTGGTAAGTCCATCCAATTTGGAGAAAGTTTCCTTCGAGTGGAAGCGAAATTGGACCTGGAAGAGGGTTTTCTCGAGTGTAGTATTTATAGTAGAAATATGCTAATAATAACAGCATCACACTTTTGCCAGCCCGAGTGTAGATAAATGAAGCGACATGATGACTATGTAAAGACGGATCTATGCGTTATTTCGATTTAAAACGAAAAGAGAAATTAAGAAAAAATAGTTATTGCTTACATCAAGATTATCTTTCATCCCGTTCTCTAAGTAGTGCCATTATATAGAGTCAAAATCATATTACAGTGATGACTTTGTTTGTGAAAGCATACATAGGTATTATACCCCTAAATCCAATGACATAGCCAATTGTATTGATTACAACTATTTTATCGATAAAGCGAAAATTTATATAGAAACTAATTAAAAAAATACATGTATTTGCCTTGACTTCAAATATACCTGCCTACCTAACCTGATAAGGATAATGAATTAAACACACACAGCATTGTTTTTCAAGCACATGTACGTGTATAATTTATGAATATAGTTCACGTGATAATTGCCATTTCGTGCTTTTGCATGTCCGAATAGTCATATAATCATGTACATATATGTGAACACATATTGTAACGACACATGACATATTTTCTAATAATTTTTTAAGCTTTCTCTAAATTTCAAATCGAATTAAAGTTCATTCGACTCAGAAAACAATAATTTAATGTACTTGTAATAACCTGTTACAAATCTTATTTATAACAACTTCAAAATTGAATATTTAAGTTTAGGATTAGGTTGAGGTGAGATTAGGTTTATTTTTTAATGTAAAATTTTGCATAAAGTAAGTTTTTTTGTTTTAAAAAAAATTGTATAAATAGGTGTGATATTCTTCTCATAAAACTTTGAATTGAAAAATCTAAATATAATATTAAGTAAATAATTCTTTCTTGATTTCTTGTATACAAGACTTCTTGTATATATTTAATTCATTCTAGATTATAAACTAAAGATTGTATTAATTTATTAAAATCAATTCATTGAATTATATAAACTGAAAAATTATTTTAAATTGAGTATCTTAACTATATTACTATAAAATAATATAATTATATATTTGATATTTTGTATTACTAATCATTTTTTTAAGCTTTTTCTAAATATTATTCTTTTATTCTGTATATTATTCTCTTTAGCTTAATTATTATTTATTCTTATTTATAATATAATATCTTAGATTTTTTTTATTATTATAATTATAATTAAATATTTCTTAATTTTTTAATTTATAATTTTAATATTTTGTTTTATATAACTTTTTTTACTATTTGAATAAATAATTTTATACTTATACTTAATTTATTATACTTAGTAACAAAATGATATTTTAAAAAATAAAAAATAATTAATTTTATATATTTTTATAGCATTTTTTTAATTAGAATCAGAATAAAAAAATTATTTATTAAATTTTTTTATTTAAAATTTTTGGAATAATTAAAATAATATAAATATTTTTATATTAATAATAAAAAATTTAATAAAATATTAAATTTTAAATTTTAATATTCAATTATTTTTTTAAAATATATATATATTAAACTTTAATTTTTCAATAATTATCTTAATAAATTATATCAAATTTTTTGTTATAATTAAGAATACTTAAATTTTAATATATTAAATTTTAATTTAAAACTTATTAATATATTATTTTTTTATTATATTTTAATTAATATTTTTTATTTTATATAAAAATTAATTTTAAAAGCAGTTCTTATTTAAATTTATTATAATAATTAAAAACTAAAAAAAAATAAATTTATAATTTATTATAATATTCTAGTAAAATATTATCCTAAATTTAATAATTAATTAATTCATAAATATTATAAGAAATTACAAAGTTTTATTACTTGAAGAAATTATCTATTTTTATTAATAGTTATCATAAAAAGTAAAATTTAATTTGTATATATAATAATATAAGTAAATATATGTATTATATTTTCCTATTTTTTGTTATTATTAATTCTAATTTTTTTTATTCTTTTTTCTTTACTTTTTATAATATAATTTGTTCATTGGTTTAAGAAAACTTGATGTTTCAAAAAAATAAAACTTGATCTATATTAGAGAGAGAAGTTATAAATAAAATCAATAGAGAAATCAATGAATATTATATTCTTATGATCCAAACTTCATAGAAATGTCTTCAAGTCATTGGGAAATAATATTCTAAAATGTAAAAGCTTTTCAAGGATCGCAAAAAAGCTCAAGACTAACTCTGAAGAAAATTTGATGTGTTGGCTTTTGAGAAGGTTGTAGACTGAATGTCTTGAGAAATCGATATTAGAGCTATATGAAGCGCTAATAATATATTAGCTAGTGATAAAAAATATTTTTATATTCATAAGACAGAAATAAAATAAATCCAAACTTTTATTTTTTAAAAAAATTGAGCCTTACTTTTTGTGGTGACTGTACATTACCAATAATAATTAAATAAATACTAGTTGAGATCTATATTATATTTATATAATTTAATATAGTATTTATTGAAAAATATGCTATATTATATAATGAATTATGCTGAAAAATTTATTAACAAATTGTGCTAAAAAATACTGAAAAATATATTATATTATATTATATGATAAATTATACTAAAACTATAATGAAAAATATAGGATTTTCGGAAATTTATGAGGGTCAGTTGCTTATGAAATTGACTATCTCTTTTCCATAAAAAGTTTAACGATTTTTCCCATATAAAGGGAAAACTTGATAAAAAAATCTCGACAGTTTCCTGATTTGTTTTACCAGCATATTCTATAAAATATTTGATAATTCGTTGGTTGTTAGCTTTTATATAACATAGCTTGGACATTTTTTCTACTCTATCAAACATCTTTTTCTGATGATCTCTTTAAAATTCAACGTATTGTTAGACGTTTTGGAATTATATCTGTAAATATAAGATGTAAAACAGAATTTTGTTGGATGGAATACGAAAGCTAGATATGACCTAAAAAAATCCCAATGCTGTTTTTATATTTGAGGTGATAAGTATCTTGTAAAATGCAGATATAATCATTATGAAATTATTATTAATATTTTGAATATTTAGATCTGAAATTTTAATTTCCTCGTAATGAACTAGTAGATTGTCGATTGCATGTACGCGCGGTCTTCTACAAAAAAAGAATAGTAAAAAAATAGCTATACATGTACTTGTTCATGCTTAGCTTATTTATGACTCAGTGGACAAAAGTTTGGAATCAGGAAATGATTTATATCAATCACTTCCGATGCCAAACTTTTTATTTTTGTTTTTTGTCTCAATATACGCATACACACAACGCGCAACTGAACAAAGAGAATGTGTTAATTTCATAAGATAAAAATCTAACAAAAAGATGCATTTAAAATAAAAAGAAATACATGTATAGATTTTATATTAATTGAGATTGTTAATACGTAAAATTATCGCGAAAGTCGAATTTGTGCTCGGTTCCTAGTCACATGATAATCAACCAATAAGAATCCGCAAATCATTAGTGAGCCGGTAAAATGATTACCATTAGCATTGGAGTTAAAGTAAAAGAACTATGCGTAAAGTGTCTTCAAACTAGATTTGATGTCTTTTTCCTTACTTTTCACATTTTTCACATGATTTGTCTTTTGTGACGGATTTGTTTTGCCGGGTTGACCAAAAATTCGTGTACCAAGCACAGTTACACAATACATACATAAATATAAAATCACCTTCTCATTATATAATATCAAAAATTTATTTCAAAATCTATAATAATGCATCATCAGAACGGTAATGTTAAAATTCCGCCATAAGCCCGACAACGAAATTCCGAATTATCCGACATCCCATTCCGAATGAACAAAATACCGAAATTATAGCCCTAAAAAATTCATGGAATATTTAAATTGTGAGTTCTTGCATTCGGGATTTCGTTTGCCGGGCTTATAAACATTCGGGATTGTGTGCTTCGGAATTTCGTACCAGACCTGTTAGAACGTACAACAAAAATTTACACAATAATCTTTAAAATCAATCCGCATCATAAAAAATCAAGACAATGATGACTACCTACAAGGCCAATGTTACTTTAGGGTTGAATCCTGGACCAGTTCAAAATGTTGTTCAGATATTTACATAAATAACTAATAATTTTTTGTCCAAACTGTCCAAGGGCCAATCCTGGTTTCTTCATAGTCGAGTATTTTTAAAAAGAACAGGACTTAACTTGTGATTTTTAGTTTTAACATAATGGCAAGATCAAACTTATTTTTATTTATGTTAGAAATGGATTATTAATAAGGTTGGATTAATTAATAATGATAGAAACTGAGAGATTATTTGATAAGTCCTTAATAGATATTTAATTTTTTAATCAGGAAAAGAAAGAATCTATTGAAATAGCAAGATAAACCTATAAATATTAACTTTACAAATTTTGAAAAGAGAATATCAATATAACAAGAAAGCGCTAACGAGCAAATTATCTCAATAAAAAGCTTTGAAAATATTTTTAAACTTAAGAAGTATCTTATAAGATAAAGTTATAAATGACTTAAGATATCTAAATAAATCAAATTTTGCTACAAATTCAAAATTAAATATTATTTTAAGAAAAATTTATCAAATCATTAAAAAAATACTTTTTTTTTATAAGAGCTTGTCAAATATAAAATGCAAATTGAAAATTAAAATCTAAATTTTAATAGTTGAAAAAACATAAGATATTGATTTTATTTGTTCTTGTTTTCAAGATAAACATTCAAATAAATTAGTATAGAATTAAATAAAATTAATTATATACATGTAAATATATTACTCTAAATATTTCTAATTTTCTATATAAAAGAGCGCACCAACAAAATCTATAATATTATAATTTTCTTCACGATAAATTAGATTAATTTTATACAAAATATTATTAAGCATGATAAAAGTATCAAAAGTAACAGAAGAAATATAAACTTTTATTATCTCACAATTATATAAAGAACTAGCACTTGCTAGTGCTGGAATTATTTCTTGGCATTATACTTAATTCATATAATATTTATATAGAAAAATAAGTTTTTGTTATATAAGGTTTAATTGGAAATATAATTAACATTAAAATTGAATTTTCTATTCAATATAAAAAAATTATTTTATTATAAACAATTCTAAACATGTATTTTTACAGTTAATAGAGAATTTTCGCATCAGTGTCAGCTAAACTCTAACCCAAACCCATAAAATTGTTTCACCAGAATGCACAAAACATAAGACAGATAAATTCGGTTAAATTCGATATACATGTACATGTACCTTTTCATGTAATATTCGCCAATGATTCGATTTATCATGCAAGACCTTGTAAAATATTCCTTTGTTAAATTTCATTGTATGAAAGTTTATTTGAATTCGAAATTTATAGTTTGCATATTTAAGAAACTTATGTACAATCAATTTCCCCCCCCCAATAATGTTAAGAAATCTTCCAGACAAAAAGAACATTATCTGGAATTGGATGCTCATCAAGTATCTACACCACAACAAAATGAATGAATTTGGCCACTTTAGGACATAATATCTCGATCGGGGATTCGATTAAAATTATTATCATTCGATTCATCTCAACCAGATGAATCGAATGGTAACATTTTTGTCTGAATCATGCTGGATGTCAGGTGTTGGATCACTAGACGTCGAGATAAGCGTCATAAAGTGAGCATGAAAATTTTCAATGTCCAATATAAAAGGAAGAAACGTTTTTTAATGTAGAAGTTTGTTGACATTTGTAGATTATATAATCTATAACGGCATCTTGATGATTTTCGGAAAGTTATGGGTGTCATTTGTTTATGAATTGACTGTATAAGTTTTATAGTGTTATAGTGTCTATTTTAAGTTAAAGACAGCTAAATATTTTTGACGTGAGATGATTTTTGTTCCTTACAAGCATTAAAATTTTTATCAAAGATGCATAATGAATTTTACTAGCATAATGACACGTGTATGACATAGAATATTTGGAAAAATGATTATATAATGAACGAATGACTTGCCGCTATGAAAAATTGACCAGAGTATGATACGATATGAAAACCAAATGCGTCGAATGTTTTATTCTGACAACGAAAAGCGCTTTGGCTCCGACTCGCGTGGGACTTGAACCCACAATCCCCGGATTAGAAGTCCGATGCCTTATCCATTAGGCCAGCGAGCCTTTAGCATATGGCTTTGATCTTGCAAAATTAGAAAATAATTGAACTTTTAAATTGTTAGCAAGATAAAGGACAATTATATTTAATAGAGTTGAGAAATAATAACACAAGCAGAAGCTTTGTGTTCATTCAATTATCGTAACAAGGTGACAATATTAATATGACTGATTAATTTAGACAAGATTATTTATTCAAAATAATGATGAGAAAATTTTAAAAAATAAAAAACAATGTACAATAATTAATAATTAATTATTGTTAAAATGGTAAAATTCAATTCGCGAATAAGAATGAATATAAGTATGAATTTATTGTGAATATGAATATTGATATTGATATTTTTGTCCGTCTTCGTTAACAAGCATGAATATAATAACATGCACGTTGATCATGTCGAAATGATTTAATCTAATCAAATAAATTTAGAATAATACATTCAGCTTAACAGCCCATAAATATTTGATTTGCTCTAAGTAAGGGAAAGAAATAATTGCATTTTTAAAGTGGAGCTGGAAATTATTATCATTATAAATGATAATGAATTTTCCAAATCGAGTCAAAAACATCAAACGGCGGAAAAACTTGCCTAATGTAATACATGTACATGCAAATAACCAAAAAAATAAAAAAAGAAACTACCATAATAAGGCACGGGATAATTCGGCCTTTCCTGAAATCAAAAACCGCGCGCTTAATAATTACCAGAACAATAAAGTGGCACCCTGCATGCACAGCAGATCCTTGTATACCCTAAAAACATAATTTGATAACAAATGATAAGATGATCTAAATTTGTAAATCTTTTTCCCGTCATTGTTTAAAAAATTATTTAAAAATATAAAATTTACTAGCCACCAAACGATCAAAATTGTATTAGACATACGCACATACACACACAATCACCGCATTGTTTTCATTCTCTTACCAATACAAATAATAACAACAATAAATTTTAAGGGAGAAATCACCACCACCCTCATTAATAATATTTTACTTTCTTGAATGAAAAATGGCAAGGATTGTCTCCCGCCAAAAAGGGGGAAGGGGAAAGAGGGAGGGCAGAACATTACTAGTACAGTTTCTTTGCTCTTTTTATTTGAAAAACAAAAAAAGAAAGCTTGGCTTCTTTTATTTAAAGAACAAAAAGAAAGAAAGAACCTTTACTCAATTCAAAGAATATAAAGATCAAACAAACATGTTGATTTAAATGAATAAATTAATGACTTTCTCGCTACCAGATGCTGAAAATCAATCAATCATCGGTCAACGATTTCTATGAATCCATCACATAAGCAAAAAAAAATCTTGAGGTAAACTGACATAATCTTTGTTGTGTTATGGTCACCAGACCAATTGATTTTACTAACTAAACGAAATGATCATTGTTCCCTATAAATAGCGTTTACATGTGCGCAATATTATTTAAAGTATAATACAGTTACATTAAAATTTGTATAAAAAATTTTTGGTCATCATAAATCGGTCTCGTTATTGTTACCAAAATTCTAGAAAGACGAAAGAAAGGTACAAGCGGAGTGTTGTCCTCGTGTTCCAAATTTTCTAACGAAAACCATTAATTTTTCTCTTTATTAATTTAATCGTTCCCATCATCACGCATAAGCTCATTCACACAATTGATAATCTTGATACTATTCAACATCATCTTCGTTAACAAAGTCAACGACGGGAGAACAATAAAGATATTGACGCTACTTTCCAGTTGAAGTTGACAATACAAAAAGTTGTTCATTACGTATTGTATGATTATTTCAATTAATACTTTATACAAATATAACAAATTAAATTGACCAACCATCTACCAGAATAAAAACTACGGATGCACAAATTCAATAAAGAAGAAACAATTACGAGTTAATATATACACTACTGTAAGAGAATACACGCATATACATCAGCATCGTCATCATCTTCATAGAGTTAGCTAGAGAGTGCATACATTCTCAAGCATTCATACAAAAAAATTAAGTGCTATACATTCTTTCTTTATAAAGTGAATCTGATGTAAACGAAGACAGACAAACTGACAAAGGATATTGTCACCAAACTAATCATCATTTTCGCGATTTATTTTTTTTTTTTTACAGATACAAAAGTATGGAGTGACAAAGTTTCCTTTTGTAAAATACATATAACAATAAAGACAATCATTCACAACAGGAGTCAAAAGAAATTGTGCTGATGTCAATCATGATAATTATTATTATCTTATATATTTTTATATTTATATATTGATTGATATTGGGTAGCAACAAAATAAGGGATAAAGCGCAGTCATTCATTAAGTATTATATTCAAATTTGCTATAAAATGACCGATCCGATTGCATATATTTTCACATCCGTCAACGCTAAAAAAATAATACATCCTTTTCAATTCTATATTCTAGCAATTTTCCTATCTCGTAATTTTTTTCTTTGAAAGATTTATCGCGTGCATCGTTATTGCCCTTTCGTAAAATCGTTAAAACTGTGAAAGTGATCAAAAATGCGTGTTAAACGGCCCGCTCGCCAGTCCACATATGATCCAATCCTAAGAATACCTTCCAATAATCATACAACTACAACACAGATCCCATATCTTTTAACCTCCCAACTAATCGAGAACAGCAAAAACAACAAAAATAACAATCATATGACATTAACCGAAATCAATGCCACCAATACCTCACTATTCAAATCGGCAAATACCCGATTCGAACTCTCACCCGAGTTTCTTGAAGAACTTTATTCGGAAATAGATCCCGCGACGCTAATGCGTATTCATAAGCAGCTCACTCTATCAATCAAAGAGTTAATTACGCCGAAACGTAAATCACGACGGGGTCAAACTCCGCGTCCTCAGAATTCATTCGTGTTATATCGTCGAGATATGCAGGCGAGATTAACAAAAGATAAAGGTCCAAAAATTGGTGCTAATTTGCCTTTTGTTTCGAAAATTGCATCGAAAAGTTGGAAAAAAGAACCGCAAGAGGTTAGACAAGTGTATGAGGCTCTCGCAGAATTAGCGAAAAAAGTTCATTTAGAAGTTCATCCGGATTATGTTTATAAACCGAAAAAACGCAGAGATAAAAGATCGACAAGATTCGATTTTGATGTGGAGACTAATAGTAATAATAGTAATGACGATAGTTTATCACAATTACAGCCACAGCAACAAGATTTCTCCCTTCTCCGAGATGATTCATACAATATTACTCAGAATTATACGTATTCTCAAGAATCAAACGAATTTGTTCATTCGTCAAGTAATTTACCTTCTTTTTCCACTTTAACCACTTTATTAAGATCACCATCTCCTCCACACATGACTAATTATTATAGCGGTGGCAATAATAATGGAGAATTAGTTCACGAACTTGAAAAAATGGCAATAAATGATGAGCCAATATATTTTAATTCTCCAATACAACAACAGCAAAAATTTGATAATTATAAAAGAATATTATGTAACGAGATCAATTGCGATGAGCAACTACGAAATTTGAAAATCATATTACCGCAAATTGAATCTGTGAAAAAAATTGAAATAAGTGATCCTTATGGTCGTGGTCTGTGTAAATTACTCGGTGCACCCTAATATAAAATTAACTTTTAGATTAAGACATAAATAACAATCATGTTTGAAAATCTTATTATAGTATAAGAATTCTAAAGTTTATGAATATGCAGAATCATGTATAAATTCACGTATGCATTTGGATGTATGTACATGCACGTATTTAATAATAATAAATAAAATAATATCGATATTTTTTATTACAATATACAATATACGATATACATGTACATGTACAGTGGTCGTTATAAATATTCGGAATTTTTGATATAGTGCATAGAATAATGAAAAATTGTCAAAAATTGCCTGATAATTTAGACACATCTTCTTTATAACCTGTAAAACAAGTTGATTACAGAATTATTATTAATTATTATTGCACTTTTCTCAAGTAAATTTATTGTAAAAAAAATAAGCCAGATCCAACAAAGATTGAGCTCATATTATTAATAGGTGAAATTGTTCATTTTATTACAAAGAATATATTTATAAATTTTGATATAATTCTGACATTTTTTTCATTAAATAATCAATAAAGATACAGCATAAAGTTAGCTACATTTATGGTTGTTTTTAATTTTTTATAATTTAATGGTATTTTTAATAAGATATTATACCAATATGTCTTAAGTAATTTTGTTCTTATATCAAAAACATATTAGAAAAATTCCACAAAATTCTATTCATTCATTATCATATACCGTATTTGCCCCCAAAATAACACGAGTTTTTGAGGCATATTTCGAGCTCTAAATCGGGGCCGTGCTTATTTTCGGGCATATTTTTTTGAATGACAAATGGCAGTACCCACAGAAAGTATCGCCCGATTTACGTGTGTAACCATTTTTTAAAAATACATTTCTCCCTTTTTTGATAATAAACATCACTTTGTTTACTTGCTGCCACTTCATCAACATTGTAATTTCGTTAGGTTAAAAAATGGTGTCCACCTATACGCAGCTTAATTAACGGAATTGAAAAGGGGAAGATTTTGACGTACGTGGACACCGCAAATGCCGCTCAAATCGCAAAAATACTCGGACGCGACCCTAAAACGGTACGCCACTTTCTAAACAAATATAAACGAACCAGAAAAATGAAAACTTACCACGTTCAGGAAGATTACCAGCCTTAAATAATCACGAAAAGGATTTACTTATACCATGCATCACTACGCGAAATAGTCAACAATTTAGGCCCCACTTGTAGTTTATCAACCATCGCAAATGTATTGCACAACTCCGGACTTTACTCACGTATCGCAGCAAAGAAACCTTATATCTCGGAAACATATACATATGCTCATATTAAATGGTGTGAAGAAAATAAAAATAAATCAGCTTATGCTTGGTCGAAAATAATTTTCTCTGATGAAACCAGTTTGGAAATTGGAAAGCAGTTACGGTAGCCAAGAGTTTGACAGCATCCTGGGGAAAAATCTAACGCTAAGTATTTGGCACCTACTTTAAAAGTGGACAAAAATCTGTAATGGTTTGGGGATATTTCGCGGAAGGACCATTAATTTTTTGTGATGAATATAAAAAAATGGCGGAAAAATAACTGCAAATACCTACCTCGAAATCTTAAAAACACAATTACTTCCATTCCAGAACGCAATTAGGGAATTAACTAGAAATTACGCAATCTTTCAACATGACAATGCGCCGATACATACTGCGGGAAAAACAAGGGAAAATAAAATCGTGATTATTAATTGGCCGGCGAATTCCCCAGACCTGAAACCAATAGAGAACATTTGAAAGATATTAAAGGACAATATTCAAAAAAATGAGAACTTTCTGATGACTGTGGACGAACCTAAGATATAAAATATAATATGTGCTTATTTTTGGACGTGCTTATTCACCTATATGGGGGCAAATACGGTAATTGATATACAAATTTAAAAATTCCGAATCTTTATGTACATGACATTAATCAATTTTACTTTTTTATTGATTTAAATTTGTCACCATTAAGCAAAAATGCTGTATACTAAAAGAAAATAAAACTAAACAATCTATAAGCTATATACTAAAAGAAAATAAAATAAAAACAAATATTATACAAAATTCAATTGCCAGCAATTAAAATAACACAATTTTATGCAGCGCTATTAGATAATATGCTCTTTTCTCTTGGAACAACATAAACTTCAAAGGTGCCAATTTCATTTACAACCGTATACCTCCACGGAAGTGGCTTATTAGGATAAGCCAATTTGAACGTGAATTTTCGATAGATATTCGCCAAAATTGCTTTAATTTCTGCCATAGCAAAATGCTTGCCAGGACACGATCGCATTCCATGCCCAAACGGGGAAAACGCATATTGCGGTGACCGTTTTTTCCAATCCCCGGTGTAAAATCGATCCGGATCAAATTTTTCGGGATTAGGAAAGTATTTTGGGTTTCGTTGAATGTGTGCAAGATTTATGCCGAATATCGTGTTTGGTGGGAATCTGTGGCCAGCAATTTCAAGTTCCGTGTCGGTGCTATAACGGTGTACTAATGGGACAACGGGATTCAGACGTATGGTTTCGTTTATAATGGCTTCAGTGAATTTTAATTGGTCGAAATCTTCAACTCTAACATCTCGATCCGGACCTAACACTTGGAATAATTCATCGACCATTCGTTTTTCTACTTCGGGATGCTTGGCGAGACAATGGACTATCGCACAAAGTGTGCTTGTAGTAGTTGCAATCCCCGCGCCAAACATTTCACGAATGTTTTGCTTAATAACATCAGCGTCCTCGGTTGACATCTCGTTCTCAGTTGACTTTATTAGCATTGTAAGAAAATCATCTCTTATTTTCCCACTGCTATTATCAGAATTTATACCGGGCTGTCGTTGCTTCATTGTGTTTTTGCGTTTTTCGATTAATTCTAGTTCAAAGTTTCCCAATTCCTTTAATACATTTTTATAATGCTCGACTTTCGGTTTAATAATCGGAAAATTCCATAGAAAAGGTGGAACAAACACTAAGAAACCTAATGCGTCCGAATACTCCGATCGAAGATTTCTATACCGTTCACCGGATGTTATTTCATGTTCTTTTTCCTCCTCATTTTCCTTGGATTTTAATGAATATTTTGGTTTTATTCTTTTATCGTTGGTTAACTGCATCGAATTTTCTTTTATCCCCGAAACAACCAATCCCATCATATCCGAAGTAAAAGATCGAAACCATTCATCCAATTTCACAATTTCATTCTGTTTCAAATCATTCCAATACCCGACTAACTCCTCACACGCCTGATTTGTATATATGGCGCTCAACTTTATAAACGAAGGCGGCGACAACGATTGAGAAAAGTATTTCCGATTGTTCTTCCATTTCGGCACATCATTATTAAACAACAACCCGTCGCTTTCCATTCCAAGTGCTTTTATCCCTTTAAACGGCGGAATACGACGCAAGAACGGCGAGTCGACTTTTGGGCTGAACAAATCTTTGAGATCTTTTGGATTGGCGAGGACAATGGTGCGGTAGCCAAACATATTGAGTTCGTACGTATCACCGAATTCGTCGTTCAAACGAGAACTTGTAGTTGCAAAGTTTCCGATGAATAAGTAGAGATGGCCGATAAATGGGAGTGGAATTGGACCAGGGAATCTTTCATGGCGTTTGCGGTAAAAGTTGAAATATGTTTGGAAGACAGAGTACAATATAAATAATGTGAATATTAATGTAAAGTCAAGATTTAATATGATTGTGAATATGGAAATTGGGAATTCTAGTATTCGTGTAAAGAGACCCATTTTGGTTTGTTTTCTTTGAATATGTGCTATATTTTATCGATACTCTTGCTAAAAAACAATTATCTATAAATTTGCCACTAGATGCCATCTTATATAGACTTTTTTTACATTTTCACTTGTATCCTAAATTAACGTTTTCTTAGCGAGAACAATATATCGACTTTAATTAGACATCGGTATTGTCGTGATTATATAATCATTATCATATTAAATGCCCGTGTAACGATATGAAAGTATTGTCAGATTCAAATACAAATTAATATTGTTCTTTTTATTTTTAATACATGTAAATCACAATAATAGGAAGGAGGGAGGATACGCGAAGAATAATATGTAATAATCAATAACAATTGCTCTTAGATTTCTTGTATTAAAAAATTAAAATCCATATAGTACATTAATATGCTTTAATCAATTAGTTCATAATTCGCGAGTGCCAAAAAGGAAAATTAATTCGATCGCCGCATGGTTATACTTTTACGGTAATGCCAATTTGTAAAGAAGAAACTACATGTGTTTTGTATTCTTTCGCAGTTTTGATAATTTAAAGCACAACCACTTTGGTCTGCCGAGTTTACTTTTATAAAATAAAATTCTAGAGATTTTATATATGTACATGTATTTATTAATAAGTTTAGAGTTTAAGATATCTCTCTTGAATAACTTTTAACCCAATGTTTTGAAATACAGTGGCCTAGTATATAATTGTGAACAGTATTAAATTTTATACAGTATTTTTTTGAAAAGATCAAGTTTAATTAAATTTCTTTTATTAACATTTAATATTAATATCATTAACAAATTTTATTTGATTTTTGTAAATTTACAGATTGGAATAGAATTATTTTTTAAATTCGAATATAGTCAGACTCCTCCAAATGCATACTGTCGGGACCATTGTATACCATGGACAATGTCCAATGATATAATTGGACAATATTTGTCCAACGTCCAAATGTCCGGTCACCGGATATATAGTGTGTTGCAAAAGTCTTTGGACAAAATCATTGGACCATTGCGCCACAATGGCTGATCCAAATCATGATTCATTTAAAAGCTAAAGAGCACGAAATAATTTTAAAAAAATTAATAAGGAATACGTTTGCCATTGTTTTCAATAATAAGTTTACAATACTCTTTCATAGACCTCACTAAATCATTGATAAGATGTTGGGGAATCTCTGCCCATTCCTCCTTCATAAATTGCTCCAATTGCAAAATATTTCTTGGTTGTCATATCTCTACATTCCTCTTAACAATACTCCATAAGTTTTCGATGGGGGTTTAGGTCGGGACTGTTGGACGGCCAATCAATTACTCTTGGGAAGTTATTTTGAAGATATTCTTTCGCCACACCACTTGTGTGTTTCAGATCGTTGTCTTATTGGAACCGCTAATTGTTTCTTAATATGTCTCTGATCTCAGGAACATGTTTCTTTAGGATATTGACATAGAAAAGACCAGTCATATCTTCTCGGAAGCAAAAAAGACTCATTTTACCTTTTGTATAAAACCCGCCCCAAGTATTAATTTTTGTTCGGTCTTTTGGGATGTGACGAACTGGCCGTTCACTCTTATACCAAACTTGTACAGTGTTTCTGAATAGCCAAAAACTTGTTTCATCAGAAAATACTGTCCAATTCCAATTGTCATTGAGGTGATTTTGCACTCATTCTACCCACTTTTCCTTGTGTGCCACCGTGAGCATTGGTGTCGCCATAGGGAGACTTTTGTCAAAGCCATGTTTGGCTAAATATCTTGAAAGTGTACTATAAGATACCTGGATACCTTTAGGTGATGTATTTTACCTGCATTTTTGCCCTGAAGCTAGAAATGCTCAATAGTTTGGGCATGGGTATTTTTCTTGATTGTCGGCATTTTCATTCGCTCTTTTTAGAAAATATATGGAGTAAAATGACTCTCGTAGTACTGAATATCTTATCTCTTTTTATTTGGTCTAGTTTGGAGTGAGTTACATCAATTTGATTTTGAACGACGATTGTCCAAAGACTTTTGCAACATACTGTAGCTGGACATGGACAATTTTCGTCCAATGTCCAACGTCCAAGTCGAATACTATGCCACCTTTTCCATCGATTTTAGAAAAGTACATTATTAAAACTGATGAAAAAATCAACAAATTCAATGTCAAGGTATATTGTAAACCATGCGTCAAGATATTGGGTGAAACAGAAGGAACCAAATACTCGTTTCCCAATAAAAAGACCGAATAATGCATTTCAAAAAATGTGCTCAATTTGCTGCGGAAACAACATCTGAACAACGAGATGAAATTAACAAACTTGTTGAAGCTACTATTCCTTCAATTTCTTCAATACAGTTGGGAAAAAGAAAAGGTAAATTATT